TAGGCCTGCCTCAGGCTCCCAGACATTCAGAAGGACTTGCTCCCAGCACCCATGCTGGAAAATAAAAAGACCCACACACACTCTTCCTTGTTCAGTGCAGCCTATCTCCTCTGGTTCCTTCCCCCTTGCTGGGGTGGAGATTTTGGAGGCCCTTGTCTTTTACCTGCTGACTGCCCAGGAATGGCTCATCTCCATCTCAGAAATAGATTCTAAGAGACTCCTGCTGTTCAGGCACCTGGGCAATGCAGTACTGCATAGATGGGCCAAGTGGTGATGCTTGGCTACAGATGCTCTCAGTCAGGTTATCTGCATTGCAGTGTCAGTGCTGGGTGACCTGGCCTTCTGCTTAAACTTTAGCTGCTTGCAAAAGGGAGGTTTCTGTCTCTCTAATCCAGGTAAGATGGATCCACATGGTCTGGCTCAGCAGGCTACTCCAGGCTACCATCACAACTGGCTTGAATTGATTGAAATACTCTGGGATACGCGTTTTCACTGTCTTTGCATCACAAAAGAGAATGCAGCTGATGAAACACATCCAAAGCTCCATAATCAAACTACCCTAGTGGGTTTCACACTGTATGTTCATTTTATGAAAAAACCACAGCATATGCTGTGAGCATGTGAAATGTCCCCATGTGAGAAAAGATTCTCCTATTCACCGCCTACACAGAAGCAGAACTATAGTGTGAATTTGTGTCATAGAAATGAATCATTGTCACAGGGGTGCAAGATACAAAGTTCTCTTGGTTTTGCAGAAACCACAAATAAATACTGGACTCAGTTCAGGCGGTATTGGAAAGATACTTCATGAAGATCTGCTTTGCACAGTTAAACAGCAGCACCAAAAACATGAGTCTAGCTTTGTTTCTGTTTAGTAAATAATTTAGAACACCAACAGCAAGAAACCTCTTTTTCCACCCCGTTATATGCACAGCCTTCACTAAAATCCTTACTTTATGGGTGTAAGGAATTATCTATAGGTAATTTTAGCATAAACATTGTTCATTCAATTTTTAGTGTTGGTTAGAGTGTTGGATTGAGGACTTGGAGATTCAGGTTCCAGTGGCCATTCATCCATGAAGCTCACTGGGTATTTTGGGCCAGTCATTCACTCTCAATCTATCCTACCTCACAGAGTTGTTGTGAAGATAAAATGGAGCTATGTAAATCACCTTGGGTTCCTTATGAAAGGAAGAAGTGAGATATAAATGCAATGTGATAATAACAAGGAGGAGCAAAAATCAGCACAAATGGCACATAACTTTTCAAGATGAGAAAGCAGCCACTGATCCCTTAATTCTCCAAATAAATGATACAGCACTACACAGATTTGTTCTCAGAGTATTCATCATGCATCTAGTGGACAGTTGCATTAAGGCCGATAATTCAAAAGCCCTTTCTTGCAGATCAACCCCGAACCATTTGTATTCACTCAGTGTGACTTTCTACGGCTATTGCAACCATATGCTCATCAAAGGGAGAAAGCAACGGGAGCTGTACATCACTGATATCAACAACAGCATATGATATTTTTTTGCTGATTTAATCCCTGGCAACATTGACTCATTCAAAGGACAATTATGACAAATGCATGAGAATGATCAAAGTCACGACCAATTTTCTGCATTCATAGAAAGGCAGGCAGGGGAAAGGGGAAGTGCATTGGATTGGGTCACACATCTTCTCATCAGTTTGTTTCTCTGATTTTCTACCACTTATGTCACCCTGCTCAGAAACAGGGCAGAACCTGATTCCCCACAGAAGAGGCATAGCATTTCATCTTTAATGACAAAGATAGGCAGGAAGTTCATAGCCAAAGGGGTTAGAAGGCAGGGCATAAAAGAAGAGATCGATTTGATGTTGTGACTGATACTTGTTGCCATTTTTTCCTATTTACCAAAGTAGACAGAATCCTTATGCTACAATTGTCACCAATGCAGAAAACTGCAAGCTTAGATAAAACTCTGAAACCTGAAGATCACTGCTACTAATATACCTTGTATCATGCACTGGATGTACCTAAGTTTTGGAGTTTGGAAGCTGATGTGTGTCAAGGCAGGGGACAACTGATTCCTATTAGGACCCCTAGTACAGGAAAAGGTGAGAGCATTGGAGCAGTGAGTGTCCACCTTCTGGAAAATAAAAGGAAACAAAGAGATTCTAGACAGAGTGGAGGAGCTGGAACAGTGTAGTCCAGAAGCAAGAACAGCAACAGCAGGCCGAGGCAGCAGAAGAGAACCTTGAGGGAAGGGAAAATGAGGAAATTCACTGGAACAGAGTGACACAGAAGACCTAAAAAACACTCTGCACCTGTGGAAGCAGTGGAACTCTTGAACCGCTTCAAGATACTTGAGGAAGAGACGTGTGAGAAACCCACTGTGAAAGAACTACATGACACACTGGGTAACTCTGCAAAAGAGACAAAAGACCAATCAAGCAAGGAAAAGGATAGCGAAGTTTGCAAGGAGAAGGAGAAGAATGCTCATTGTGCGAGATTCCCTCTTGCGCAGGATGGAAAAATATGTAACTTGTGGCGACCCAGAGAATTGTCAAGTATGCTGTGTCTCTGGCGCCAAAGTTAAAGATATAACCAGCAAGTTTACGCAACTCTTTTGCAATTCATATGAACCACTGCGAAATACCCCTTCCTTCTCTTCCATGTGGAAACTAACAACAATGCCATGAGAAGCTTCGCTGAAATAACAGACTTCAAAGCTCTAGGGAGGAAAATAAAAAACACTGGGGCCCAGATAGTCTTCTCCTCAATCCTACCAGTACTTGGAAGAGGAACTGCTAGGGAAAGAAAAAACCTTTCAAGAGAATGACTGGCTAGGATAGTGGTGCTGTAAAGAGAGATTTAGATTCTGGGACCACAAGCTAAGCTTCCTGGAAGATGGACTATTGGCAAATGATGGGCTGCACCTCACAATGAACGGGAAGCAGATGTTTGGCCACTACATCAAAAACTTTATCAGGAGAGCTTTAAACTAGAACCTATAGGGGAGGAAGATGTGCAGCATGGCATACCATCACCTGGCAAAGACTTCAACAGAAGTATTTCAACAGAGAAAAAACTTCAAGCAGGGCCCAGCACCAGTCTCCCAAAAAACCTAGGAAGAAAACCAGGGCACAGCGAGAATGAACTTCAGTGTCTCTACACCAGTGCCCAGAGTATGGGAAATAAACAACACGAACTTGAGCTCATAGTACGTGAGGGCAATTATGATCTTATAGGAATAACTGAAACTTGGTGGGAAGACTCACATGACTGGAACTCTACAATTGATGGATCAACCTGTCCAAGAAAAACAGAAAGGACAGAAGGGAGGTGGAGTTGCACTGCATGCAAGAGACACATGTATCTGCACAGAAATACAAGAAGAGGAACTTAGCAGCCCCATTGAAAGCATCTGGCTAAATTTAAAGGGAGCCAAAAATAAAAACATAGTTATTACTGTTGACCCAGTCAAAAAGAGGACAAAGATGCAACATTTGAAAAGCAACTTGCCCACATTTCCAAGAAGAATAATGTAGCTATCACAGGGGACTTCAATTCCCTGTGAAGTCCCCTGTGATAGCTACATTATTATATGCTGGGAGATATATGCTGGGAGACAAATTCTGCCAAGCATGGCCCCTCCAAAAGATTTCTGACGTGTGTTGCTGACAACTTTCTCCAGCAGAAAGTAGAGGAAGGTATGAGAGGATCAGCTATCCTCGATTTAATACTAACAGGGATGGCCCGGTAGACAAAATAACAACCATGGGAACTCTGGGGGGAAGAATTGACATACTTGAATTATCAATTATAAAGGAGACAAAGGGTAACTGGAGCCAAACCAGCATCCTGGACTTCAAGAAAGCCAACTTTAACAAACTCAGAAAAATGATAAGCGAAGTGCCATGGCAACACACCCTTAGGGGAAAGATGTCCAAGAGGGGTGGGAAATCTTGAAAAAGAAAATTCTCCAAGCACAACTATGAACAATTCCATCAAGAGGAAAGTGTAGAGGACAGCATAGGGAGCCCAGGTGGCTCCACAAAAAGTTAAGTGATAGCCTGAAAGAAAAAAAGAACATGTACAGGAAGTGAAGCAGGGCCAGGCCACAAAGGAAGAAAATAAACGAATAGCAAGGAATTGCAGGAATACCATCAGGAAGATTAAAGTGGACAATAAACATGAGCCAACAACACAATACAGCTGCCAAAAGGGCAAATGCTATTTTAGGATGCATTAACAGAAGTATTACTTCCAAATCATGAGTAGTAGTAGTTCCTCTATACTCCTCACTACTCAGGCCTCATCAGGAATACTGTGTCCAGTTCTGGGCACCAAGATTTAAAAAAGATGCAGGAAAATTAGAAAGGGGCCAGCAGAGGGCGACAAAAATGATCCAGGGTTTAGAAACATTTCCCTATGAGGAGAGACTGAGAGAACTGGGCATGTTCAGCCTTGAGAAGACAGAAGGGGGACATGATAGCCCTCTGTAAGTATGTCAAAGGCTGTCAGAAAGAGGACGGTCAAGATATCTTCTTGTGGATACAAGTGTAGGACATGGAATAATCAACTCAAGTTGTAACAACCCAGGCTCAGGCTAGACACCAGCTGCCTAGAGAGGTGGTGGGCTTTCCCACACTAGAGACATTAAAAAAAAAAAAAAACTGGACAGGATGGTGCACGTTGGTGTCCTGCAATAGCAGGGGGTTGGACCCAATGGCCTTCATGGCCCCTTCCAACTCTACTATTCTATGATCAGTCCAAACACAGAAGCAATTGCTTCACAATTCAACAGAACCACAAACTATAGCCACAGGAAGACTGGAGAGTTCATCCTGTAAAATGAAAGGCTGGCGTGGTCCAAGACAGATTTGTGCAAAAAATATTTTAAGGAATACATTCATTTTAACATACTTTTGGGTATGTTCTAACCATGGGGGCCTGGTCCAGCCAGGGCAGCCTATTTTAGCTTCACATATGCTTAGGAAGACACAAAACCACCTCTGTCAAGAATACACTTTATTAAATACAGTTATGCAATATGGATGCAGGTGGTAATAAAACAAGGGGGGAAAGTGCACCTTCTCGGTGGCCTGTTGGTTCCCTTAATTGGCCCAGAATGTTATGTGGACCTCTGAAGGTGCCTCAGTGACACATCAGTTCAATTCCTCAAGCTGAGATCAAAAGACACCTCTTGCCATGGATTTTATATGGTCCCTCTCTCCTTTTACTGCAGAATCTGTCAGGATGCACACCTCCCCCCCCCCCCCCGTCTACAAATGAAGCTGTTTCAGTAAGGTAAACAGTGTTCTTCTCACTGTAAAGGTGAATTTTAATGACAGAATTATCTGGAAAGGCAATTTCAAGGTTATTATCCCTGGTGTTCTTAAGAAGCTGAAACGCACGAGGCTTTGGCATTCTTTCAAGAAACTATTGTGATTTTTAGGCACTGGGAAAAGTCAATGAACTACTTACTGAACCTCAGTCACCTCCTTGCCATTCTTCTGGTAGAACCTGGGCAATACAAGCACTCATTTCACACACATAAATGCTTGGACTCTGTGTTTACCTCTATTCAATATACATAGCACTTTTTCAGTACTGTATTTCTTTTCATTTGCCTGAAACAATTAACCAACAGGATATGTTCAAAGTTTTCAAAGAACTTCTCAGATACATTAATAAAATGGGTAACAGTGGAATTTGGCTGGTGTCCAATTACAAATATGTTTTCTATACTCATAAAGCTGCATCTCATGTTTACTTTTCTTTAACATAAACATCTACAATTTCTACAAAATTAGTGCATATTGGAAAAACTACAAAAAATAAACCATCAGAATTTATGTCTTTTACAGCCTGCATTTCATGACTGTTTAAGCATCACTATCAAGAGGTGTCATTTAAGAAACACCTCAAATTCTACCAACTTTTTACCAGTTTCATTTTTTCTCTCAAGAACTGTATTACAATAACACAAAGAGAATCTCACAAGGTTCTTTGTTATGTCATTTCATCAATAATGCCACACATATTAGCATCTTTATCCAAAACTTGATCCTTCTTGATGCCAGAGCTCACTCTCTGCTGCTCATTTTGTCCAATGCAAGTTATGCTGTCTTCAGGATCCATTGGTTCAGGTGTTATTCTCATCCCTCTATCTGAGTGAGGTAAATCATCAGGCAGAGAGGCCAGACAGTTCTGTATCATCTCAATAACTCGCTCCAAGTGCTTCTGGAATCTCTCAGCAGTTTCCAGACGTTGACGTTTCTGTACTTCCATCATGACTCTCAGTGTCTCTCTGGCTTGGTGGGGCCGATATTCATTGATCAGATGATGCACGTGAACAAACAAGAGTTTTAGGTCTTCCAGCTTCTCTTCTCGTCTTATGTGGCCTGGACTTCTTATCAATATATCCAAGAGGTCCAAGAAGTTAATCAAGATAGACATGTTTAGTTTTCTTAGTTCTTTCTTATGGTCAAACTGCATAGGATGCAATCGCTCAATGCCTTGGCTTTCCAATGGCCGAATAATTAGGTCATCACATTGAAACTGGTTTCCAAACATCATATAGCTGTCTTTGATAGGTGGTGGAGGCTTAGGGGCCAAGCCTTTCCGAATATTTTCATCAGTATATTCTTTAATATATTGCATTGGAGGTGGAGGGAGGGCACTCACTTGCTGAGGTTCACCCATTCTTGCAGATCAGGTTTCTAAAATAAAGTGTCAAAATCAGGCTTAAAATTCTAGATTCAAAGTATAAAGTATTCACAAGTCAGAAAACAGAAAAAAAAGCAAGTTAGATGGGACCTCCCAGGCCATCTTGCCTGACCCACAGCTCCAGCTGGCTCCACTCATGTAATCCCCAACATGTAGTTTCCTTTCAGAATATACAAGGCAAATTAAGACATTACTAGCAATTCTTGTGAACTGATTTGTCAAGATTTTTTTTAAAAAAATGTTATAGAGGGTTTGAGAGTACAGTCCTTTGCATGTTCTGACAGGAGAAATGCCAGGACTTTTTTCTGTTTGAACATGTATTAAATAAATGATTCCTCATAAGTATACACTGTGTCTTCTAATATATCTATTATTGTTTGCTTTGAAAAGGAAGACTTGGACAGCACCTCAGATTATATGGAAATCAAACTATTTGGCAAAATTAACCACCTTTTTTACAGCAAAAGTGGGAAGACACAGTTGAATCTTATTTGTAGTAACTCAGATCCAGTGGAGATAACTTACTGGTACAGGACTTAAGCCTTAACTGTTCACAGAGCAGGCCTTCCAACACACTTCACCACACTTCGCTCTTTCTTCCTCTTGCAACGAACAAACTACATGCTACTTTAAAGACATATCTAGCACCTGGGTAGGACTTTAACTCTCCCCTCCACAAGGCCTTAGTCTCAAGCCGACAATCTGCATTACAGCCTAAGAGGTGGACACACTGCTCCTACAAGCAAGGAGCTGGACCTGTCACTGCTCTACGGAAGGGAGAGGCAGCCCGAGTGTGTTCTCCTCACTCCTTGTAAATACAGTTTAAAAAATCCTCGTGCACCTCACACCTGGCAGGTGGGTCTCAGGAGAGAGGAACGAGCCTGCAGTCCCAAGGAGGTCAATCTATTCCTACTCCGTGACGAAACGAGCCGTCCTCGCAGGCGTATCTGGAAGAGGGGCGGGCAGACGGGCAGGGCCTCCTGATTCGGAGCGCACAGAAGGGGCTGCAGTCTGTATTAGCCCCCGCGATGGGCAGGGCGAGCCGTCCGGAGCTTACCTGAGCCTACGCGGACAGGCAAAGGAGGAGCCGAGGCCACGCGCTCCCCTGGGCAGCCCCACACCCCACTCCGCTCCTCTGGGCCACTTCCGGAGAGTCTGCTCGGGCTGCCGCCTTCCTATTGGTTTACGTACAAAGAGGCGAAGGGGCGGGAACAGACGTAGTCGAAAGGCGGGTTCTATTTTGATTGGCTGCTGACAGTGTCAGTCAGTAATTCTGTAGTAATTGCCGGAGCAGCCAGCTTCCTCTTTATCATTTTTTTTTTCTTTTGTACCGTCTGGCGGACTTGTGTTGGAGTCCTCGCTGGAGGCGGTAGAAACTACTGGCAATTCCTGAAGGATCGGCGTTGATACCCTTGCAGAACTACTCTTCTGAAAGTATAAATTTAATTTAAAAAAACAACAACCTTGCCTATACTTATGCCCTAAGGCACGAGAAAGTTCTATCCCCTATATTATGGAAGAGCATTGGTAGGCAATCAGGGATTCCAGTATTTGCAGTTGAGATATTAAGGTTCGCTCTTTAAGCAGCAAAAGCTGTACAACCCCTAACCATCCCAAGCCACCATGCCTGCTGGGGCATGCCGGGAGTTGTAGGATGGGTTTTGGTTTTCTGTTTTTGTGTGTTCCTGGCTAAATAAGTATGGGATTGTACCCTTAATACAGTATCTCTTGTGCCCGTTTCTAGCTACTGGGTCTTGGATTTGCTGGATCTGCAGCTAGTGTTCTGCCTTGAGTCGTCATGGGTTTGTGAAATGCTGCTTCTTCACATCAGAAATACAGTGGGAACATGCACAGAAATAAATTAGGAATGTAAAATTGGACACTTGAGGTGCAATCATGCGTGTGTTTAAGCAGTCCTACTACTCCCGTTTGTCAGATGTATAAGTATTCTCTCCCTTTGCTATGACACGTCTAAATAAGCTCTGGACATGTCATAGCAAAGTGTAAGTAGTTGAATGAGTGCTGTTCCAGTGCCACATGATCTGTTTCTGGAAGGCTCCAGAGTTTGTTGGAGAGCATACCTAAACCAGCAACATCCTAAAGACCAAGAACTATCATAATAACTCTGGGATAAATTTGCAGAAGCATAAGTTTGGGGGGGGGGAATTAAAAACACATTCACGCACACTCAAAACCCAGACTATGGACATTCCCTGGAGGACCATGAAATCCATTATTGCAAAATGATTATTAAAAAAAATAGGGTGGCCATCAGGATAAGCTACATTTGCTGAAATCCCTCTTTCTACACAGCAATTAAAATTGTAGTAACCTTGCTTTTAAAAATATGAAATGTAGATCCAGCCCAAGACATTTTGTTGGCTGAGGAAGGATAAGAGGGGAAAGCACTGTCTGCAGCCCAGAAGCTGTGAGATATGAGTCCTGATCTCCCAGTGAATTTATGAATTAGAACCAGGATTTCTAAGAGCTACATCTGCATGTTATCTGCCAGACCACACTGATTTTATAAAGTATTGTTATAGATCATAGCTCTACAGAAAGTATGCTATACTCTTATTTTCTAACAGAATACAAAAGCAATACACAGCAAAAGCTGAGTAGAGAAATATGTATTTCAACAATGTCGAGAAGTAGGAATATGTTTCAAACTGTACAGCTCTTATAGACATTCTAGTAAGTAGTGACATTCTAATAAGGCTGCTGTCTTTGCCCAATACGATGTGATACAATATTTATTTTAATGCTATGCCACTCTTCAGCAGCAGAGGGCAGCATTGATTTTGGTTTGAGAGATTTAAGCAGCAGGGGAACGTAGTAACTAAGGCATCAAGGAACTCAGAGAGTTTGGGCACCTAAGACACTCCTGCAGTTGTTATTTTGGAGTGGTGCAGGGGTTGCTTTCATTTTATCCCGTGAACCCAGTACTGGTACTGTTGATGCATTAGCAAGACACTCAGAAGATGAAATCATTCGCCTTCATGCCGACTTGAACATAGCGTCGGTTGCAGCATCCAGTCCACTGGTTCATCTCGCACTGCAGCTTAAGTGCTTGCTGCAACCTTAAGGGAACGTGGATTTGGCTGGGGACCATTCCCAAGTGTTGGTTTCTGCCTACTTCCTGTAGTAGTTGTTGCTGCTGTTGTTCATTCAACTTATATTATGCTATACTAGTCCGAAGACTCTCCAAGTGGATTGCAATATTACATAAAGTAACAATATTACATTACATAACAATAATAAAAACAACCTACAATAAAACAGAAATATGCAGCCAAGGTCAGCTATATCAATAAGTTAAAATATGTTAAAGATAAAAACTGTGTAAATAATATCCAAGTATAAAATCAATTATTAAGATGTCTGGAAAAGAGGACTGGTTTTGTCTGGCACCAAAAAGATTGTAAAGATGGCACTAGGCGAACTCCTTTCAGAAGGCCATTCCATACATGGGTGGCCAACACTGTGGCTGATGGTGTCAAAAGCCACTGAGAGGCCCAGGAGAACCAACAGGGTTCCACTCCCCCTGTTCCTCTCCTGGCAAAGGTCATCCCACAGGACAACAAAGGCACCCTTCAGCATGTGCTGAAGAGCTCTTACCTTGTAGATCAATTTCTGGAGATGCAGCTTCTCCACCAATAGTATCAGACTTCGAAATCAGAGCCTTGGTGGGGGATTTTTTCCCTCCATAAAGACTGCATATGAGCCTAGGAGGGAGGATATGGGCCAAGTAGAGACATCTTGGGGAGCCACATCAGCATGATGATGGGTGGAGGGCAATAGGGTGATGGAAGGGGGCTAGCCATGGTGAGGGAACATAGCCTAGAAACCTACTGGCTGTGTGGTGTTCTGGCTTCCTTGCAACCTGCAGGTTTGACAGCTGCCTTGTCAGCCTGCCCTTGGGTGTTCAGAATTTCATGCCAGGGACATTCTAGACCTGTTTTCGGCAGCTGGACGTGGGGAGAGCAATCTGGTGTTCCCCCACCTTCGATCACCTCATGCATCCCTAATGCCAACCATACCCGTTACCGAATAAGCAGCTACGGCACTCACTGGGGCACTCAGCTAGGCCCGCATAGGACTGTGCTAAAGAGTTGTCCTGGCTGCCTGCTGCTTACTGAGGAGTGGCCAAGGTTATGCTATCGTCATGCAAGACGGTTATCACCCTGGGACCAGGATACCAGCAGAATGCCCCCCCCCCACTCCCCGTGTGTGTGCCTGTGCGTGTGTGTTTCCAATTGATCATTGGAGGAAGTGGTTGATGGTGATACCAAAATCACTGAATGTGGCTATGCAATACATGGCTGCTGGGCCTTTTGGTAGTGGTGCCCATTTCAGGGGGGAGGGGGTGGGGTGGAGAATCCTGATGCAATTCAACAGGCAGAAAATTTGGCATCTTTGAAATGCCTCCTGAAATCACACAAGCTTTCCCTGGTCGGTAATTATACTGTTCCACTCTACTGCTCATGTACTGCTCTGTTTCATCTATTTTTATTATTCTATTCTATTCTATTCTATTCTATTACCACCCCACAGCCAAAACTATTGTAATTTTATGTTTTGAAACTTTATTTTAAATGTGATTTTAACGTGTGCATGGAAACCACTTTGAGGCTGTTCTTAATATAAAAATAGTACAGATAAGTAAATATTATTGCTATGCAAACATTATATCTCTGCACTATTTGCCTTGCATGAGCAGCAGCTGAAGGAAGCTCCTGGTTCCCACAGAAAGCTGAACGAGGCCCCCACAAACTCCACAAACTCCATTGTCTTTCTCCAGCAAATGAACCCTTGCATGAAATGTATAAGAAGACAAAATGAGTGTGCTGAAAATGGAGATGGAGGGGAAGGTGAGCACGCTGCTGGGCACATTCACATGCACTCAGACACCCATAAAATGCAGGCATTTATCATTACGCACAATTACCATCCATCTGAAACCACAAACAATGTTTCAGCTGATTTTACCATATATGCTCTTCCCAGTGTTATGCTATAACAGTTCACATTCTGTATAAGCATTTATAATATAAGTGAAGATGTTTTAAGATTTTTAAAGGGGGTTGGAAGATAACTTTGTAATATTTTCACAAATGAGTACCAAAGTCAACAGATTGTTTGGCATGCTTAATTCTCCTGGAAATAAATGGTCCCCGAAACTTGTAATATGGACTGATTAAAAATCCAAATAGCAACAGCTTACACCCAATGAAAAAGTCACCAAAACTGAGGAATCTTGAATTCAACAGAACTCTACTTCAGGATGGATGTTAAACATCAATTCAAAACCAAGAGGATGTTAAAGAACTGTAATGGGATATCTGAAAAGCCTAGCTCTATAGTTTGTATTAGTCTTAAAATCTAATGGAGAAAGTGCTGAGAGGATTTAATTAGGCAGAATACATTGGTGCAACAAATAAAGGAATAAAATCTTGCAGTACAGCAGGCAACCAGAAAACCTGCTGGGTGAAAGAACAGTAGTCATTTTGCCTCTGAAAAGATCAAATCCAGCAGTTATTAGACTTGTCTCTTGCGCCTACTGGAACTCACAGGTCCCTTGGAAGGCAAAGAGGATAAGCAAAGAGAAAAAAATTAGGCAGTCCTTATATTAGCAAGCTGGAGATTAATTTGATGGTAAGAATACATGTTATTTGCTCCACTGACAAAAGCATTTCCCTGAATATCTTGGCAAAGATTTTAGCTTTTCGTATTAGTCAACTAGAGGTCCTTAAGTTCTCCCTTAGATGGGTGTAGCATTCTGTTTTGGAGAATACTAAATGGAACCATCCAGAAAAAGATGGATAAAATCTGGGAATCAGAAATCTTTGTCATTCCTTTTAGTCCATTAGCAGAACAAAAGCTGAAACACAATACTAGCATACAAGCTGAAGAACCATGATAAACTTGAAAATTTACTCAACATTTTGCGGCATTTTAGCTTATCCTGACTTTAAAGTTTACCAGGATTATTCTTCTTCAAAAACAAGCAGGTGACTAAGAAAGACAGAAGACAGGAAAGAAATGTGTAAATATGAGACATTTCTACAGTGAATGCAGAGGCTGAAATCTCATCGTGAGGCCATTTTTTTAAAGGAAAAATGAAAGTTAGTGAAAGCATAACAGTGGGCTTTAGCGGATCTTTTTCTCACTGCAACCGATCCTGTTTTGAACATATATAAAAAGAAGTCTTTAAAAGGAAGAAATAGTCCTAGGTATGAGCTACATAATTAAATCTTTACAGTACCTTTCTCCATCGCATTTTCAAATTACTATGGAGAAAAGGTCTATCTTAATCAAGTTTGTGAAGGTGTATGATGCATGACTTGACTGAAGCTCAGTCATAAGGAAGTTTAACTAGATTTATTGGGCTTACACTCAGGAAAGTAATTAATTGACTATCTGGGTATTTCTCCAATTTCACAATGTAAATTGGGCCACGTGGGCCATGTAGATGATATACAGTGTAGGGTAGTGGTTAAGAGCATGGGACTGGGACTCAAGATGATCTGGGTTCTAGTCCCCGCTCAGCCATGGAGCCCACTGGGTGACTTTGGGCCAGTCACAGACTCTCAGCCCAACCTACCTCACAGGGTGGTTGTTGTGGGGATAAGATGGAGGAGGAGAATGATGTAAGCTGCCTTGAGCCCTTTGTAGGAAAAAGGCAGGATATAAATTGAAAAATAAATAAATAAATAAAAATATATATTCTTCTGTTTTTGTAATGATCAGAAATGCAGGACCTCATCTTTATTAATTTATAGAATGGGTGAAAACCTGACCATTTTTTTTTAAACTTCAGGATGAGATTTCAGTCTCTGCTGGAACGGTAGAAAGGTCTTGTATTTCTGTATTTCCCTTCTGTCTTCATCACTGTACCAAAAGGTGTGTCTGAATAATATGGATAAGTTCCATGGGTGAAATGACACACAATCTGATACAAGGAATAAGGAGCGGGGTTGCTGGCCTCTTTCCTGGAATAGAGATGGGAAGAACAGGCTTCCGGAATGTTGTGGTTTACTAGGACCTGAAGATCCACCAAAAAGGACCTGGTGCAGAAGACATACACCTGGAATTCTGAGCACCGGAATCCATTCTGAGTGGCAGAACTGAAGTGAGTCCTCAAGCCCTCTGTGCAAAAATCTATTCCTGGTCATCCCTTCCTGCAGCCTTTTTCATTTTAGCTGTATGATTTAGAGGAGGGGTGAGTCGTTTTGTTGTTGCTATTGTTAAGCAATTGGACTCAGAAATCTTTGCCAATCTACTTCAGATCATTCAGGTATTTACCAGTGTATCTTGATGTGCATTCAGCCCAGAATGGATGGTACCCCATTAGACAAATATTTATCTGTCTAATAAATAATAGGCAGATGCCCTTAGAATTTTTATTATAACCAAGTGATGGAGTTACCTTTCACATTTCTTAATTGTTTCTCCTTCATATGAAGACTCACCCTCTACCTTAATGTAGTCTACATTGTTCTTAGAACAGTGTTTGAAAGGATGTGGTTATGGTTTTTTTTACATCAGAAAGGAAGCTAGCTGAACGGTACTGCTTGGATGACAGATGGAAAGATAAAGCTCCTGCACTGCTTCTTGTGACAGCCCACCTGTCATTCTCCCTCCGGCTTTGCCCTTCCTGGGCTCCTGCTTGGTGTTCTGGGACCAAGGCAGGTGCTCTTCCATTCCAGAAGAGGACCACTGCCTGCGGAACCATGAACAACAGTGTCCTCCTTCAAGAAGAACTCATCAAAAAGTCCCAGCAAAAGAGAAGAACTTCTCCATCCAACTTCAAAGTTCGATTCTTCGTTTTAACAAAATCAAGCCTGGCATATTTTGAACATCGTTCTGGGGTAGGTGTCTTATCGTTCTATGTCTTTTTCAAATGAGTTGTCAAAGAATAACGAAGTTCTCAAGAGAAACTGAGTGGAAGGTTCACTCCCTTTGAGTGAAAGAAGACATTGCTTTAAATCTGTAACTAGAAGTCACAACTTTTTTTTTTTTTTTTTTGCTTGCACTTAAACATCTGGCTCTTAATAGCCATTCCACTCCCATGCTAGGGTCTTGGTCCTTATTTCGGGCTCCCGATCTAATGCTGAAAAACACATACCTCCTAGATACAGATTTAAAATTATATCTGTTCTGTCCTGTAACCATCAAGCTGAGTTATTTTGCATTAATTTCTGTGGAACCAGAATTTGGTGTTTGATTATTTTATTTATTTCTACATGTGGTATGTTTTATCATTCTTGACTTATTTATTATTACAACTGGCTATTGTGCTGGCGGAGACTCCTGCGAGTCCCTTGGACAGCAAGGCGATCAAATCAGTCAGTCCTAGAGGAGATCAACCAAGACTGCTCTTTAGAAGGCCAGATACTGAAAATGAAACCCAAATACTTTGGCCACCTAATGAGAAGGATGGACCGCCTGGGGAAGAGCCTAATGCTGGGAACAATTGACAGCAAAAGAAGAAGGGGACGACAGAATGAGGTGGTTAGATGGAGTCACTGAAGCAGTTGGTGTGAGCTTGAGTGGACTCCGGGGGACGATGGAGGACAGGAAGGCCTGGAGGAGTGTTGTCCATGGGGTCACAATGAGTCGGACACGACTTCGCGACTAACAACAACAACAAAATGTTTGCCTTTGAGAAAGCCAACATTTTATGCTGTGTGTCCTAGAGACATAAAGATACATTCAGGGTTGTTCTTTTGCAAGGGAACTATTTCAGGGTAGTCTTAACTGGTAATGCAACAGGCCAGCATTCTCTGCCCACTGTGTACATCAGTGCCAAGAAAGCTGAGCAGATTGTGGTGTATATGAAAGTGAGGACCTTCAGTGGTTTGGCAGATGAGCTGAGGGTTTCAAGGACAATTTCAACCATGAGCTGCAAGTTTTATTAGGGACCATTATCTTCTGTGGCTTTGGACTGAGCAAAGCCCTACAGAACCGCACAGGACATCTGTGTTATCCACACTTAAATGCACACAACGACCCCAGCGTTGGCGCTCAGATGAATTCTGTTCCATGAAGCTCCTTCAGATAAAGATGCATTGCTCAGATAGTGCCTTTGTTTCAGGGATTAGGATGCCCTCAGAAGGCATGATTTGTATTGAAATAAATAAGAAGTTAACTCATGTATATTTATAGTTCCTGCTAAGGAAGGTCCAATTAACTCCTTCCTGGTATGTAGTGCTTCTACAATCTACTATCCCCTCTCCCACTCTTCATTTTAGAGTTTGGTAGACAATATTGAATCAGATTGCGTTCTAACATACTATTTCCCCTCCACTGCTTTTATGTTGTGTGGTTTGCTTGTTTCTGAAATGCTTTGGGTCCTCTTTGAATGCAGGTGTTGCTCTGAGTGCTCTTGGAAAACCTTTAAAAAGCATCATGGACAAGTAATTCAACAGAAATATTTAGAATCAAGTTGCTAGGGTTGTGTTGCTGTGCTAGACCTTTATCTCAGACATGTCTGTAGAGGACACGGTCCCTTACAGAAACAGGCAAAAATGGCCTGCTTTGTTTACAGTCCTATCGTCTGCTCTGCTTCCTCATCCCCCACTCATCTTACATAGGGATCTGGCCACTGCAGCAGGTATGAGGTGGTGGTCATGGGGGAAATGCCAAGATGGTGGAGAGGACGTGCAAATACAGGGCTGTCAGTGGGTTGTGGAATCCCTTGGGCAAGATACTTTTTCTGGACCCTTCCCTCAGTAAGTTGATCTTCTTGCTCTCATTTCTTGAGCTGCTCTTAGTCCTAGCCTCTTTCTCACCATTGCTACCACGTGCCAACTTAATAGATACGTGACTGTGAGCATTGGCTTGTCCTCTTTTTCACCACCGCCATTGTCTAGGCCAGAGCAAGAGGCAAGGTGAAAAGGAGAAGCAAGTCCTGGGGGCTCTTGTCAGTGGCGATTGTTGGAGTATGGTCGCTCGGCAAGTGCCCTGCCGTACCTACCTTGATGCCAGCCCTGTGCAAGAGGGAGAACAGATCTCAGCCGGAGATGTCAAGGGCCACGTCCAGTGTTTAGGATAACAGATGCCAATCCAAACTAGGATACTGTTAGAATATTATCAATACATTCGTCTGTTCAGTTGTTATGGATATAGAGATTTAGAAAGAATTGGAGTGAATATCACTCATAGCCTTACCACAGACACATGTGCTTCCAGCCAGATGTCTCCTAGCATGACTAATCCAAAAGCAATGCATGGTTATTTTGCCTTTCACTCTGTAATAGATGTGTTCATGGTATGAAATGATATGGAAGTGATGGCAGGAATACATGGCAGGGTTACAAATGGGAGGCAACATGTCCACATGACGACCCCCACATTAAACTCTGTGTACCATCTACGGTTTCCAAGCCCCACTCTGGAGAACCAGCATGATGCATATGTGCAATGAGTGAGCGGGTCGCATTGCCACTTCCCATTCCACTGCACCTAAAACAAGGCTAAAAGTTGTGCTAGTACGACAAAGTAGCTAGTAGCTATGTCTTTCTATTTTACTTTAAAGTAAGCTCAGAGTCCTCAATCTGAATCAGGAACACAAATATGGAAGCCTCCTGTTTCCTCATGGGATGGGGCTGATGTGGGTCAGGGCCCCCTGAACTTACTTTGGAAAAAGAAAAAGCAGTTACGTCTTCATATTAATAGGTAGTTTGGCCAAGACACTCTGAGTTCGGGACCCACTGCTACCTCCTACAAACATTGTTCTTCAAGTTCAGGTAATCTGTTCAGTGGGTGATTGAAATCTAATCAATGTAGCACATTTCAGTAAGACGCAATTGAAGAAAAGCTGTGTTTAATGTAAGCTGCATAAATACCTAAAATAAGCACTTCTGGAAATGTTCTCAGGGTGCAAACCTGATAGGAGAAAATCTATTGCATCTTTTGCCTCATGGCCTTGAGTGTAGCTTCAGAAAACAGGTATTTCAAGCCAAACCATACATTACAATAAAACACACTTTTTTCAAAAGTATCATGAAGCCAGTATTTTGCTGCTGGTTTTGATGCAGTATTTGGATCATATGATTTTTCCCTTGCATCAATTTCTTCTTTTTTGACTGTAGCTTGCCACAATAATATTAGTAGCTGCTGACATACAGATGTCCTATAATGAACAATTATACAATTAGCTAATCCTGTTCAGGACCACATTTCTGATCCAGGTCAGGGGTCCTCCCCAACGCCTTGCAAAAATCATACGCACATTTGCATGCATGCACACAGCTGTTTTTTGCTCCCAAAGGTGGAAATATGCACTGGAAGCCAACACATCTACCGCAGCACAGCTGTTCTGATCTAGTTCTGATCTACTTGGGATATATACACGTGCATCAGATAAAGCCAGAGCCTGTTCCCAGAAGTCCAGGATCGTGTCTGCTCTGGCCCTTCGGTCATGGAACCCTGATACTCTGTCCTGCTTTGGTTAAACGTTGTTTACATTTATCGGTGAACCAGCACTGAATAACTACATATTTTTATCTCTACATGTAGCCCAGGCATGTAGGGCCTATATAAATATGCAACTAGTTGAATGACAAATCAATATATATAAATATAAGGGTGATGTGCCTGTGAGGGGTACAGTAAATAAAATGCCTATATTATCTATGTATACTTTTCCTATGTTTACTCAGATTATGTTCCTATATGACATGTAATTCTGTGATTCCTTGAGGGGCGTCTTATGCACAGTTCAATTCTTCTTTGGACATAGATTTTCTTGTTTTACTTTTTCTTTTCTTTTCTCTTTTCCATGATGCATCCACCAGTTCTGCAATTTCAGGTGACAGAGTGGCATACAGCCACCACAGCTTCTTAGCTTGGTTTCCTTATAGCATATTTTCTGCTGCAAAACACATGCCACTGTCTCCCTTTGTTTGAGTGATCTTTGTGGTTACATTTATATCATCCAACCCTATAGCTGAGGAATAGAGATGCTGGTGTGTCTTCCAGAAAGCATGGGCATGGCCTATATGTGTGTGTATTTACTATAGGGGCAAAGTGATTCACTGCCTGAAGCAGCACTTGCTCCTATGAGAACTAGCCCAGCAGCAGGGGTCTCTATGAGACACCGTTCTTGGGGTGTTCCTGCCTGCTGAAGTTAGACAGTCAGCCACTAGGGTTGCATTGGCTGACCACTAACATGTTGCCAAAAAAGGAGGAAACATCAGCGGAAAAGACAAAGGGGGATAGCAGTGTGCATAACATGATAAAATGTGCATATACTGATTGATAAGTAGAGTTGCGAATTTTGAAACCATTATTATAGCTTAAATAGAATTACAGTACTTCTCACTTTCAGGCAGATGTCTGTGTCCACATGACCTGCATTCCTACTACTTCCTACTACTTCAGCCTGCTGTCCACGTGCTAACTGTGGATGGGGACAGTCCTGGGGGTTTGCTACAGTTCTGGACAGCCCTCTGAGAGGGATGGTTTAACTGGGAATCCTGCCCTGAGCAGGGGGTTGGACCCGCTGGCCCTCTGGCCCCTTCCAACTCTTCCATTCTATGGTTCCATTCTATGGTTCCATTCTATGATTGAAACCAGAATCAAGCAGGAAGGTCCTTCAAATAGAGGACAAATGGCCATGCCAGGGTTAGGACTATGTAACTCCCTCCCTTGAGAAATCCACCAGGCACTCCAGTGGCGTTTCTTGGCCTTCTGTCTTCGTATGTTTGTCCGCTGGATCCATTTGAGGTGGCAATGTCATATCTGCTCTTGCTCTGCTGACTCCGCATTTATGTTGAGCATGATTTAATTGGGCTGCTGTTTATATATATAAAACTGTACATTCACATTGTATTTTTGTGTTATTTAATAAGCTGCATTTTCCCCT